TAATTATTTTAATATACTAATATTAAAAATAATTTCTAAAAAATAAAAAATATGATTTTAATATATTTTAAAATAAAAATACTTTAAAAATTAATCATAATTACATCCTTTTACCTGCAAAATACTTTAAAAAATAATCATAATTACATCCTTTTACCTGCAGTAAATTATTTTAATCTACTAATATTTATTTTTTTTATTTTATTTTTGCACTTTAATACTTGTACTGGGTTTCTGTCACCCTCCACAGTGACTCTGTCATCCTCTTTACAAAGAGTAAAACAAAGGGCACTGCACCAATTTTACCCTAGACTGACTGATAAGCAGCGATTCTCACATGTCAGTGACGGGAAAGTTTCACAGTACGATCAAAATACTGTTAATTTAAAATTTATTTTTATATCTTATTTAAAATAAATATTTTTTTAATATGTTATAATTTTTTTAATATATTGATATTAAAAATATATTTAAAAATATTATATTAGTATATTTTAAAAAATTACTTTGAAGTATAACATCCACCAACCACTTAGATTTCGTGTCAAATTCTTTAGAGCTTGGCTCCTTTGTATATGAATCAACAAATGTAAATTTATCTCTTATTGGAAAAAAATAACTTAAACTTAAAACAAAAAAAACTAAAAAAAAAGGCTAAGCAAATTGATTGTTTCTCTTGCAATAGCTAATAAACTAATTGCATTATGAATTGTTACTGTTTAAATTTTTTTAGTTTATATTTTTTATTTAATTTTTTTTATTGATTTTATTTAAGATTTACCTAGATAATTTATTCTAACCAGCTTGACTTGGATTTCTGGATTTTTTATAAAGTGCAAAAAAAAAAATTTATCATTAAATTTAAATAAAAAAACAGCTATCTCCAGATATCAAAGAATTGATCATTGAAGTCACACCAAAGCTCAGTCACTTCCACGTATTGCATTGGAAGTTAGTTGCTACCAGGACGCTTCCATCAACATGAAGAACGACCATCTTCAAAGATCGAAGAAAGTAATGCGTGTCTTCTCAATGCAATAACTCTATCATACATTTAAACTTGCATTGCACGTGCAAGACATTTTTTTGCTCTTTCATTCAATAAAAACCCTTCAATTGAGTCTTGAAATTCATCACAATCGATCCTAGACTATCTTCTTTCAATTTAGTTTTTGATTCCTAATGACTCTTTGATTCTATTCTGAATTTATCTAACTCGGTTGAGTCAGGAGAGAAGAAGGGAAAGAAAACGAAAGAGATATTTAATTAGTAAGGTTAGCGCATTATAATCATATTTATGACTCGGGTCATTAATATAACGGTTGACCAGATTCGATTTAGTATATTATCATCTTAATATTTTAAAAAAATATTATTCTAAAATCTTATTTTAAAGTTAACCAGTAATTTTAGCAATTATCGAAGTAGTCTTTGAACATATCAAATCAACTGGATCATATCATAGCAACACCTTATAATGTTTAGTTCCTTATCTTATAATAACTCTTTAATTAGGTATTGGACTTCATTTCACTCAAGACCAATAAAAATCCAACTAGTAATAGAATAAGGAAAGGTGAAATAAATAGATAATTGATCAACTAGGTTAGTGCTTTGTGGTCTTATTTATTATTTAGAATATAAATTTAATGGTTAATCTGAGTCGATATAATATATCAATGTTTTGATATTATAAAAAAAAATAGTGTTATTCTATATTTTTTAGAAATCAACTCATATTTTTATAGATTATTTGGATTGCTTCTAAACTAGCCAAATCAATTAGATTAGGTCATAATAATTATCACATGGTTTAATTTGAGTCTCTAACTAAATAAAAAAATAAGTTAAAATATTTCAAGATTGGCTTACCGAGTTAAGTTTAATAACATTATTAAAAAGTCTCATATGATCTGTCCACCCTCTATATTTTAAAAACATGACTTACAATTTTTTTTAAAAAATTAATATAATATCTTCTTATAATTTATTTTAGTTAAATCAAATTAAAATTAAGTGAATTGGCATTTTGATAATTCAAAGAGAGAATGTTATCCCTAATGCATCTAAAATCAATATCATCCACAAACAAAATTAACAATAAATTTAGTATTAATAGTGCTCCTGATAATATAAACCTATGAGAACAAGTTTGGTATCATTTGATTAGTTGTTATTATATGACTAAATAATAGGGAATAATAATAATTTTAGTTTCATTTAATTGGCTTCTATTATATTACTAAATAATAGAAAATAAAGACTTATATTCCTACAAAGTAGGTTTATTAATACTAAATTTATTATATATTTACTTTTAGACATGAAACAATAAAAATATTTTTTTTCAAATTCTAAATAGAATCTCTTCTCAAGTTAAATATTTATTAGTAAGTTGATATGCACCAGAGTAAATAATTGGAGATTATGAAAAAAAACATACAATATAAAAATGGATTGTTAACTCGTAAATAAAAATCTTTAAAAAAAAATATTTTGAATCAAATTTTGAATCAATCTATATTTAGTTTTTTTTTTACCGAAAAAAATAGTTGTTTTTAATTTTAAAACATTCAGCTACCCCGTGAATACATGCCCCTTTTTCTTCGTAAAAGCGAGCACCGTCCATTTCTATTTCTATTTCTTTTCTCCTCCTCCTCTCTCCACCACCTAATCACCATGGCTGTCGCCACTCCCTAACCTGTAAAACTGACCACCACCAAAGCAGGCAACGTGAAAATTTTTATTTTATTCCCTGACTTGAAATTTTCACCCTCTCTCCCTATACAAATTCACGCCAAGAGAGATCTGGAGAGAGGCAATGAACACATGCACTGTATCAAGGAATCCTTGTTGTCAAACCCTTCAGCGATCAACCCTAACATCAACAAAACACAACAACGACAAGGAGAATTTCATCTTGAATCGTTATCTAAACCATCAACTTCTCCACAATAACAGTATATCAAGAAACCCGAGCTCAAACTCTCAAAACCTCAAGTGGGTTCCTTGAATTCTACATAATATCACCACCATCTTCAAGTACTGACGTGGGTTCTTTGAGTTTTTCTTGAATCAGGCTTGGGAGCTATTCTTTTAATCAAACTTGTGGGTTCTGTTTGCATTTTTGTATTTAAAGGATTCTTGTAAATTTCCTTAGGTTTTTGGACTGTGCTTGCGTGCTTTGATGATGTACAAATCTGGGCATTCCTTTTTACTTTGTGAGAAACTAACGGTGGAGATAAACTAATAGAAAATCAAAGATAGAATTGATCTTAGAAGATATTAACCTGCTGTCACGCCCCAAAAAAAATCTTGAAAATATCCTTTTTGCGTGAGAGCATTTAAATTTTTATAAACATGCATGGCATGTCAACTTCAATTATTAAAATAATACTTTGTTAAAATAATTTTTTATCTTGAATCATAAATTAATTAAACTCTATATAAATCATCTCATATCAAATAACTTAATTTTAAAATAAAATAAAATATAATATAATATAATACAAATCTAAAATCATAAATTAATCTAATAATTAAAACATTAAAGCCTATAAATCAATTACAAACTTCCAAAAAAACCACTTAGCATTTTATATTTCTTTCAGATCACTTGAAAAAATAAAAAATAAGTGTCATATAATTATTAAATAATAATTATCTTCTTAGCTCTACCAAGTATGCAAAACATTTTAAAATCTTAGTACTTTAAAAGATTTAAAAGTTCATAAGTATATTTATATTTCATTCAAAAACTTAAAAAATTTAAGCTAATCATTTAAAACACGAATATGAATTGCACCCTCATCTTCAAAGTCCTTCATGAATACTCTAGCAATGGGTTTTTTTAAAAAAAAAATAGGTATTAAATTTTAAATAGATATATTTACGAAAACGAGTATATAACCCCAAAAATCAGGTTCACAGCCTAATCAATTAAATTTATATTCATGTTTAATTCACAAATAAGTTATTAAAACAAAATTTATTGAAAATATTTTTGCAATCGTAAACATATTTTTTAAAAAATTAATATTATTTACAAATTATATAACATACTTGATCTATCTAATCTACAAATCAATAAATATTTTAATAAAAAAAACTCATTTAGTATGTAAATGTATATTTTCTAACTCAAATAACAAACTAAAGAGATAAACAACTACTTAATACACAAATCCAATATTAACTTTAGAGATAACCTTGTATTCTTAACAATTTAACAATAACAAATATATAAATTATATGTTCACTAGTATCCAAAGCAATATATAAAATTGTTTCTAATTCCTAATTCAATTAAAATTTAAATATATCATTAACTTAAATAACCTTAAAATTTTATCCAAAAAGCATTAGAACTATGTTATTACAACCTCTTGTTTTGCTAATAAAATATCTAATTTTTTAAATAATTATATACCAAAAATAATCATATAAAACATATAACAATTATGGTCAAAGAATAATAACATTATAAAATATGATAGAAAATGATATGAAATATTTTTATTTTAAGGAGAGAAGTATTCTAGGCATAATAAGTTGATGTGTTGAAAGTTAATTATTTTATTAAGTAAATGAATTAATTCGTATATAAATAAAACCCTTTATGAAACATTTTCCATGTATCCAAACTCTATATAAAAGTCAATTAATTTTAGTATACTGAAACATTTAAAACCAAACAATAAAACTCATCAAATCTCCAAAATAAATTTTAGCAATTAATTAACTTCTAAATTTCAATAATTAGACATAATTTTCATAAATTCATAAAAAATATCAAAACACACTAAATTGTTTTGGTAACATTTTAAACAAAGACAATAAACTTTGGAGCCATAAAATATTCAGGGTAAAATACACTCTCCTAACCGAGA